GTGACCTCCAAAGTCCTTTTACCCCCAGTGTGACAGCCATTATTCCCTTTCCTTTCTCTAGGAATTTCACTATTTGGTGTATTTCATGTAAATGGAATTAAACAGTGTTTACCCTTTTTTGTCTGGTTTATTTCAACTAATGAAATGTTTCAAAGATTTATTATTTAAGTCTGAGTAATGTTCTGATACCCGAGGACAACTTCAAGAGTCAGCCCTCTCCTTGTGCCCTGCCTTTCATCAGTGTCACTAGTGTCCATTATGAAAGTCTTCTGCTCTTCTGTAGTTAACCCCTAAGCACTGTAAGCTTTTGATGTGGTTGTCATTGGACCTGCTTTCTTGATTTCTGTCCTTTGTGGATTTCTCTTTAGTTCATGGAACTGCAACAGACTTTTGAGTTAGTTGACTTCGCATCCTCTTACTTTACTAAGTTTTGCTTACTACTTCAAGCAGTAGTTAAGGCTTTCTGCATACAAAATCATCCCTGTGATCACAAGTCACTTTCTTTCTCCCCTCCAGTTTGAACACCTCTCCTTTTTCTCCTTATTTAATTGTTTTGGTTGGAACTCCAGTACCATGCTGGGTGGACGGGCTGCTTTGATTTGGATCTCATGTCTGGTCTGTTTTCTTGGGCTACTATTTTTCATTATGTTTCAGGTACTTGTCAGTCTCTTTTCTCCAGAGTTGTTAGTTTTAGAGCATCCTCCTCCTTTGCTTTTTCTTGGCTCCTGTGTTCCTGTGTTGCTATTTTGTACCTTACCATTCAGTTGCCCCAGACTTTCTTTATATTTCTGCCTTTTTTATGCTTTTTTTTCCTAGCAGGATCTCATGTGGCCTTTGGCTGATCTTGAACTTGCTATGTTGCTAAGGGTTGACCTTGAACTCCTGATCCTCTTTTCCCTATCTCCTAAGTTCAAGACTTACAGTCATGCACATCACTGTGCCCAGCTATATGGTGACTTACAAAGACATTTCCTGATGATGTGACCATAATAGGCCACATGGCTTGGACTTAGGTTAGATGAGATGTGCCATTGTAGGTCCCTCAGGTGTTTATAGAGCTTGTGGGCTTTTCCTTTTAGAAGGCTGAAGCTCTTTTAGGGGAGGTGAGTTCGTAGCTCGCTGTTACATAGCACATCCAGCCATTGGCAGCACAGGCCAGATTCTGTAGGTTGATTGGAGATCCCTTTCTTTCTGGTTTGCACAGGTGAAGCACAGCTGGCATTGTGATATAGTGGCTCCCCTTCGTTTCCTTAGGTCTATGTAAGGATAGTATTATGCTGGTGGACACGACACAGTGAGTGTGTACAAGGCAGTTATCTGTCACTTCTGACCATCCAGGTCCAGGCACTACTGCATACTCAATAAGCAGGGACCAGCTGGGCCACCTCCCCAGCCCTGCCAGCCCCACCATTCCAATTGCTTAGAAAGATAAGAGGAAGATAGACAAGCCAGCAGAGCAGGGCAAGGCACTTAGTACAAGTGCACCCACCCCCACCCACCCAGGCACAAAATAAATACATGTAAGAACATATCCTTGCTGTAGAGAGGCAAGAGTAGGGTCTGGGGAGTTGACTCCTGGGCAAAGTATTTGCTGTAAAGCATGGGGGCCTGAGTTGGACTCCTAGAACTGACAGCAAAAGCCAAGCATGGAATTGGCAAGGTGATCCAGCAGGTGAAGGTGTTGGCTGCAGAGCTATATACAGCTTGAGTGTGATCCCTAAGACAGACTCCCAAAAGCTGTCCTCCAGATGGCAGTTGATGGCTACTAGAGCATCGGTATTCATTAGGGTGTGGTTCCTGGCAGATTGACCAGGTACCGGTGAATAATCCCACACCTCTATGTACATAAGCAGAACTCATTGGATTCAGTGGTTTAAAAAAAGAGGACAAGAAGTTAAGAAAGGAACATGGGAAGAGGCTCTGAGAACAGTGACTGTTATCAAAATTTATTTTATACATGAATGAAATTGTCAAGGAATAAATAAAAACATTTAAAGGCTAAAAAAATGTTTAAAGGTTTATGTAAAACAAGTTGTCCTCTGACCTCCAGACTAGTGTTGAGATATTCATGTGGGTGCTCACATGTATGTGTGTATGCACACTCATGGTGCACACCTATAATTCTAACACTGGGAGGTGGGAACAAGGATCTGTAGGATTTCAAGTGGCAATTTGGGAAAGACATTAGCATTTAGTTCACACAGAGGGGTTTCTTTTTCTTTTCTTTTTTATACTATTGTTGCTTAATTATACCTTCCCAGTAACTTTTGTAAAGTTATAAAGTCTACTTTCTCTATTCTGTCATTTTTAAATTTTGTGTCTAACATTATACTATTAATTCTTAATTCTAAAACTAAGCTCTCAGGTTGAAAAATTCAGTTTGGCAATAGCCTAATTTAATAACCACACAGCTCTGGACTGTGCTTTATGTTTTAACTCTTTTGGTGTTTAACATAGAAGAATTCAGAAAAATGGTCACCCAGTTTCTAACCCTGCTGATTTTTCCACTCAGCACCTTCCATGAAGAGGTGGCTATATATAGTAGGCAGTTTGTTGGCTCTGTTACCTTCTGTCTGGGTCCTCACCCACTCCCTCGAGCCCACTCCTCATTTTTGTACAAAAGGGATGGTTTCAACATGATCTTAGGAAATATGTCCAGTGTTGCAAACCTACCACTTTATAAACAGAGTCCATTAGATCGGGTTTTAGCTCAGTAAATGTCTGTTTTGTGTGCATCTCTGTTATAACCTAAAGACAACTAGAAAACAAAGGAAGTGGCCCTGCTCCAAACTGATGTAGAAACTTAATTTATTTAACATGAAAAATTAACGGTAAGTATGTAGACAGAAATCTTTTATGAACCGAGGTATCATGATCTCTTCCTTTGAGGAGGGGCTGATTTTTTTTTGAAGATGGGATTTTGTGTAGCCCTAGCTGTCCTGTAACTTACTGTGTAGACCATGCTGGCCTCAAATTCAGAAATCCACCTGCCTCTCCTTCCCAAGTCTTGAGACTAAAGGCTTGCACTTACCACTGCCCAGCTAGTGTCTATTATTTATTTTTTTCACCTACCCCATCTGCTTATTTTTAATGGCTCAGAAGAAGAAATGATTATGTAGTGAGGTCTGGATATTATAAAATGTGACTTATGGAAGCTAGATGTATTTGGGTTTCTTCCTGTTTTTTTTTTCTTTTTGGTTTTTTTTTTTTTGAGACAGAGTTTCTCTGTGTAATCCTGGCTGTCCTGGAACTCACTCTGTAGACCAGGCTGGCCTCGAACGCAGAAATCCGCCTGCCTCTGCCTCCCAAGTGCTGGGATTAAAGGCGTGCGCCACCACTGCCCAGCTCTTCCTGGTTTTCTATAGTTTGAAAATTGAGCAATAAAAGGTTATAAAGAAAAATCCTCCTTATAAATAAATAGTTAAGACATAAATTCTAGCCTGGCATTTAATTCATTCTTTATTTTGTTTCACACCATCTTGTGTATCTCAGATTGACCTTGGGTTCACTATATGGTTGAGGATGACCTCAAACTTCTGATCTCATGTTACACCCTCCCTAGTGCTGAGTCCCATAGCATGTGAGCACTGTGTAGCATGCCTGAGGATTCTCAGGCACAGCCCTGCTGTGTGTGTATCATCTGTGTATCATCCTGCCAGGGAAAATGGGTTGAGTTTCCATGTATGGGAACAGCGAGGGGCTGATGGTAGAATCGGCACGGGAGGCTCAGCACATGCCGGGTGTCACATGCCTCAATACTCCTTGTGCTCTAGTCCAAGAACAGCATGATACGGTATAATGAGTGAGTTTCAGAATGTGCCAGTTGAGGGACAGATATCCCAGGAGCCCCAAGACCCTACAAGGGAGTCTCTGAGGTCAAATGGTTTTTGTGATAATACTTGGACATCATTTGCAAGCCACTGTCAATCTTAGAAGTATCCAGGAGAGTTTCCCAGAGACTTTGTGAGAAGAAATGGCAACTTACATGCAGAAGAGATAAGAGATTCCATTGTCTTCTATTAAGCAAAACACTAAAAAGACTTGGGAAAATATAAACCAGTATAACCCTTCTGTCTTTTTTGTTTTGGAAATATTTGAAAAATAGAAATATTTTCCTCAAATAGGTTATATGTTAATCTGTAAAATGTTACTTTTTGTTATTTTGAACTTTTGAGATGCCTGTACTTATTTAACACTAGAGAATTTTATCAGTCTCAACTTTTGATAGGTTAATAACAATAGATACAATGCCAGTACTTCTTGAGAATGTACAGGAGGAGCTTGCTTGATACCACAGTTGCAACCATAAGTGCTTAAATTCAGGTCAGGGCTTTGCTCTCTGACCATAGGCAAGTGTAATAGCATCTGTAATTGAATTATTTCTTCTGCAATAGATGATTGTGATTTTATCCTGACATGTGCGTATAGGAACGCATGGTGGTTCAATATAAAGATGTTGAGAACATAGCCCTCTTTGCTTATTGAAGCTATATGGCTAAATAAACCAATTTTAGGAGAAGATAAACTGTTTCAGGCTGGTTAGCTTGCACTCTGGCCTTTGTTTTAATTTTGGTATCAATTTCTTAAAATTTCTTATACATTTTTCTCAGTTTCTCAGATAACCATATTAGTAACTAAATACACTTCCATCTTTTTTAGTCAAAAGGGGTTATTCCCCTGATACTTTGTAGTAGTGTGATAAAGCTAGGAGCATTGTCTGAGGGAAGCCACTGACTCCCTTCCTAATGATCAGAAGGTTCTTCCTGGCCCCCTCTTGTGTAAAATAGGCTAAGATAGTAAAACACAGGGAGCACTTGGCAAAAGCAGCTAATAGGCGGTTGGGACTCCAGAAAAGGTAGCTGTAATGATTTTCATCTACATAGAGCAGAAGATGCACAATGAACTGTCTCTTTCCCTGACTCCATGAACTTCAGCTAGCTCAATCACAAGTTCATCAACAGTATTTCTCATTACACGTTTTCCATCTCTCTCCTCTAAAGGGCTCTTGAGTGGACAGACTTCCCCAACAAATGCCAAACTGGAGAAGCTAGACTCTCAGCAGGTGTTGCAGCTCTGCCTCCGGTACCAAGACCACCTGCACCAGTGCGCAGAGGCAGTTGCTTTTGATCAGAATGCTCTAGTCAAGCGAATCAAAGAGGTAACATGGCCGTGGGGGACTCCATCCCAGACTCATGGCAGTAGTTAAGACGTGCTGGTGAAGAATGTTCTTCCTGCAAGACAGTCTGGAATTTGACTCCTGCTTCACAGCTGAGTTGGTCAGGCTTGTTCTTTAATTTCTCTGCACATGAGGAATGGGCCTGACAATAGTCCAGCATTGGGTGCAGTGAGACTGCTCCATGGCTGTTCACTGTGTTTGTGTGTGGTCTTATTATCATGAGTTTGCTCTAGATAGATCTGTGTTTAGCTTTTTCTTGTGTATAGCTTCTATTCTTTCCATAGTAATTATTTTCTTTGAATGTAGGAGTCTTAGCATAGTCTTTGCTCTTCTCTCTGTTAGTACATGAAAGCTCAGTGGTTCCCATTTGCTGTATGAGATTATGGCGAGTTAGCCCTAAAGGCTTTTGTGAACACAGCTCAGGTATCATTCATGTGAAATAGCCTGTAAACACAGAACATGGTACAGGCCTGGGATTGCACGTTAGTTGAGAAACTGCTTGTTTGGCAAGTGTGAATCACTGGGTTCTGTCCCCAGCACCATGTAAACTTGATATGGTTAGTATATCCCTGTGATCCCAAAACTCAGGAGGTTAAGACAGGATCAGAAGTTTGAGGTCATTCCCAGCTACATTGCAAGTTGGAAGCTATCCTTGATACAAAAGACTGTATCAATAAATAAATAAATTTAAAGATGGTACAAATGTGTAGTTACCAGTAAATATAGTAGGTTCTTTCCTTAAGCATTGAAGTGATTTATTGGTCAGGTGATTACATGGGAGCACCAAGGAATAAGCAAAATGCATTTTAAAATTTTCCATCGTGGAAGAACTTATATTCCTGCCATGAGGTGATATCATATGAAGGACAGTTTGAGAGCTCTATCTAGGAGAAATTGCATAGGAGGATGGCACATCTGTGCTTGTTTAACAACTGGCCACGGGTCATCAACTCTGGTAAGAGAAGTTGAACATGAAAAGCAAGTGATGAGTTGCCCATCACTACACTTTGCTTTTAATGAGTAATAAAGATAGGCTGTTCTTGGAGATGCTGAAGATTGTCTGTTCTGGAGATTCATTGTAGCAGCAGGTTTAAATTGGCTAACATGTCCACCATTTAGCATTATTTTCATAAAGGTATGAATATATGCATTTTTCTTTAATGAATAAAAAAACTTGGTTACTCAGACATCACAGTGGTGAAGTAGCTGACATAAATTTATTTAGTTTCAGTATATGGCCTCTTGGCTCCATTGTTTCTAGGTCACGGTGAGGCAGAGCAGCACAGCAGGAAGTATGTGGTAGACCAGAGCTGATCAGCTTGTGGCAGCCGAGAGGCAGATATCAAGGGACCAAGGAGAACACAGCCTTCAACAGCACATCCCAGTGCCCAACATCAGACACCAGCCCCATCTTCCTGTACATACTATCAAGCATTAGTCTTTCAAGGAGCTAATCCACTGATTATGGCAGAGCCCTCATGATCCAGTTACCTCACAGTGAGTGGATCCATACGCTGGAGACCACGTCTCCAAAACAGGAACATTTTGAGGAGGACTTCATGTCCAAATCGTAGCAAATGCTATTACCTGGAGCTATTCAATATGACCTTTCTCACTGCTTGGCATTGATGTAGCCTTAAATATATATGTTAAGACAGGGTCTCATGTAGTCCAGGTTGATACTGAAGATAATCTTAAACTTACAGTCCTCCTGCTTCTGGTCTCTGAGTGCTGGTATTACAGGTACGCACCACCACTCTCAGTTTACGCAGTGCTAGGAATGGAACCTAGCACCTTGGGCATGTTAACAAGTACGCTACCAATTTATCTATATTCCCAGCCCTAGCCTTTCAAATATTGTTCAATTATATTATGATCTGTAGATCTCTAATCTCCAAAGTTGAGTATGCATAAGTATCACTTCAGTTTGTTCATCTGAATGATGTGTTCTCTCCTCTCCAACCAGGTGTGGCTTGTGATTCATTGTTTTAATAAGCTTGCCAAATGATACCTAATGCGGGCCTTCATTAACTGGGATGTGGGAACCACTGGTATAAAGGACTACTTTCCAAAACAAGTCTTAAAAACTCATCCCATGTAGGTTAAACTTCTTGCATATTCATTACCACACCCTAAAAAATCACATCATAGACATTTAAAATTTTGCATACTACTTCAAGTTCTTAGGAGTCTCACAGTAAAGAAAACCAATACATTCCAAACTAACTTTACCTCAAAACACTTGTCTTAAGTAATATCTGTTAATATCCCACAGAAGGAAAAGCTTAATATTAGCATATATTCACCATATAAAGTAGTGTTTCATTATGACATTTTCAAAAAGTCTATCATATAATTTGATCATATTCACCTCTCATTTACCCCCATTTTTCCCTTTTATGTCTCTGCTGACCCTCTTATCCCAAATAGGTTCCTCCCATTTTCTTGTCTTAATACATTTTCGATACTATTTTTTATACTTTAATTTCAGAGATGTATACTCTGTATTTTGGATCATAACCATCGCACCTCCTCCCAGCTCCCCTCTGCCTTCAGCACACCACACTTTATGCCTTCTTTTTCTGACCCACTGAGTCCCACTTAGCGCTGCCCACATGTGCATGGCCGTGGGGTATCTGCTGGAGCATAAGCAACCCTACCAGAGGCTACATTTCTGAAGAAAAGTGATTCACCTTCTTCTAAGAGCCATCTACTGTCAGTATCTCCTCAGCTAGAAATTGGCTTTATGGGATCCTCTCCCATCCATGCTGGGGTCTTGACTGGCTTGTCTTTTTAGGTAGCTATAGCTGATGTGAGTTCATGAATGCAAGGGGCCTGTTTTACAGCAGGCCTGCAGGACCCCAGGCTCTTACAGTCTTCTGCCACCTCTTTTGTGTTCCCTGAGCCTTGAGGGAGCAGGAGTGACACCTGTGTTTATTTAGAGCCAAGAACACCACAGTCACTTACTCTCTGTTGCCACCGATCAAAGGTTTCCTTCTTACTAGGTGGCTTTCAAAGTGTCAGAAGGGGCTGTATAGGCTGGGGGCGGGGGGGGGGGGGTGCGGGCTGGGGTTAGTCATCAAGTCTTACTGAGCTGTGAACCCTGTGAGCTATAATACCAACCAGCCTGTCAAGATAGGCCTGTTGGTGCAATAGTGTCCTGAATGTTACAGTGATAACCAACTATTTGCTGGTTAAAAAGTTCTGTTGCCCAATCTTTCTTGAAGCTGGTTAGACTTTTAAGGGCATTGGCCAGATGGAAGGGGAAGCTGGACACTGATAATTATGAAACCATTCTACATGACTTTCATATGGAGCCAGGGTTGAGAACCAGGTTTTAGAACAGTCACTTAAATAGATTTAACTGAATTTAAAATTCTGTTTGAGAACCTTATAGATGCAGTTTGAATAGTTAGGGTATATTGAACATTTTCAGTACAAGTCCATAATCTGAAACACTCCAAAATCTGAAAGGTTTGCCAGAGGTGGAAAGTTCTGTCTCTGAATTAATGTGATGGTCACATTCAATACACAGGCAGAGAGATGGGGATGTAGGTAAATGAAAGAGTGTTTGCCCAGTAAAGGTTCTGAGTTCCATCCCCAGCACTATAAACAAGCAACAAGTACCACATAGGCATACTAAAAATACCAAATATAATTATCATCAAGCTATGTGTGTAAGATATATATGACATATAAATAAATACCATTTTTAGAATTAGGTTCCATTCACAGAATACCTCACTATGTATATCAAGCTATTCCCAAATCAAACAACAATAAAACCTCCACAAACACTTCTGGTTCCAAGCACTTTAGAGAGGGGATAGTCAATCTGTAGTCACTCAGGATTATTACAAAGCAGAGGACAGTTCTCAAGAGTGCTGAGCAGGACCTCAGCAGCTCTTAGTGCAGAAGGAGTGACAGTTTCAGGATTTCCACTGGAGGTGTCATGTGTCCTTTATGTCTTAGTGGGTGAGTGTTAGCGAAATGCTGAACCATACATCCATCTCTGCTCACTGCAAACCTAAGGATTGGGATTTGTTACATCCAGATGAATGAGGCAGAACATGTGGTTTTGAGCAAGCACAGGCTCTCTGCTCTTACCCTAGAAGGTCAGAGGGATCTGCTTGCGAGCGGGAAGAAGTGACAGTGCTGTAGGTGTGGAAAGCAGAGACTAGTAGTCACCAGGAACATGCAGCAGAGTGTTAAACAGACATCCATAAAGCCACAGCGCCTGGGTCACTTTGTATTTAGAACTCAAATATGAAATTTGAGTCATGCTCTTAAATGATAAATTTTATGTTTACACACATGTACATGTAAGAGGGAAAACAAGAATGGAGATAGCTGCCTTCCCAGCATCCCAGTAGACTTTGACTACTGGTTTACTTATTGGCTGTAAGGTTACCCCCTTACCCATCACCAAACCAGTGTTGCTGAGCAACTATGGCATACCCACTGAGAGGTTTGTCTGGCTGGCGAATTGAAAATACACAGAACAGAAGCATAAAACCTGGATCACTATCGACAAGGCACTGTCAGTAGAGTGCTGTCAGTGGAGACTGGTTGCAATGTGAAATTTCTGTGAGATATCAGGATATTTTGGAGCAATGGGGGCTAAGTGAAATATTAGAGAGAATAAGTCTTGGAATATGAGTATAGATAGATGGAAGACAGTTTGACAGTCTTAGAAAAAATAAGCTTTGGGACTTTAGGGACAGTGAAAAAAGATTGTGATTCAAGAAAACACTCATATTTCTGCATTAAAGACCATAGCATATTGACATTGGGTAGATTTTGGAGATCTCCTGATCTAGTCTCTCATTATTTAGATATATAAATTGAATTCAGTTACAGCAGCTTACCTAGTCATAAAATAAGATAAATTACAAGTGCATACATATCAAAGGGAATTATTTCTCTCTCTCTCTCTCTCTCTCTCTCTCTCTCTCTCTCTCTCTCTCATACACACACACAGA